CCGGCGACTTTGTAACACAGGCGGAGGGAGCGGAAACGGGGGGGGGGGGGGGGGGGGGGGGGGTTCAGGGTTCAGGGTCTGCAGCTGATGTGGTCCACGGGGTCCAGACCATGTGGGCCACAGGCTCCTCCTCCGTCAGCAGCTGCTCTCACTCCAACCTATTAGAAATGTTTCAACCTAGTAAGATGCCACCTTTGTAGGTGGGGGGGGTCCTTTGTCAGGACACCCCCCCCCCCCCGTCTCCCCAGCTTCATGTGACCAGATGCTAACAGTTTCCACAGAACATGTTTGGGTCGATGCCCACCAGACCAGCAGCAGGTGGACGGTGGACGGTGGGGTCGCTCTGTGGCTGAGTGGGCGACGCCTGTCGCTGCACCTGGTGACGTCACAGTGGAGATAAATCCAGACTGATCCCTGGAGAACAGGTGGGAGACGGGGGACGAGCTCTGCTACAAAGGGAAGGTTTTTGAGGAGAAAATGGAGAAAAGTCTGAAGCCTGTGACCGTCAGGAGCCTTATGTTGGTTCACACTGAGCCCAGCTGTCGCCACGGGTTTGATACAGAGACACTGTCACATCAGCACCGACTGACTGTTGCCCCTCTGACTGTTGCCCCTCTGACTGTTACCCCTCTGACTGCTGCCCCTCCGACTGTTGCCCCTCCGACTGTTGCCCCTCTGACTGTTGCCCCCTCCGACTGCTGCCCCTCCGTCTGTTGCCCCTCCGACTGCTGCCCCTCCGACTGTTGCCCCTCCGACTGCTGCCCCTCCGTCTGTTGCCCCTCCGACTGCTGCCCCTCCGACTGTTGCCCCTCCGCCCGTTCCCCCCCCCCCTGTTGCCCCCCCGGCCGGCGCCCCCTCCGACTGCTGCCCCTCCGACTGTTGCCCCTCTGACTGTTGCCCCCTCCGACTGCTGCCCCTCCGACTGTTGCCCCTCCGCCCGTTCCCCCCCCCCCTGTTGCCCCCCCGGCCGGCGCCCCCTCCGACTGCTGCCCCTCTGACTGCTGCCCCTCTGACTGTTGCCCCTCTGACTGTTGCCCCCTCCGACTGCTGCCCCTCTGACTGCTGCCCCTCTGACTGTTGCCCCTCCGTCTGTTGCCCCTCCGACTGTTGCCCCTCCACATCACAGTGTGGAGTTTCCTAAAGTAAAGAGGACTAACATCCGTTTAGCATTTGTCAAACGTGAACTCTGCTGCTCCGTCTGGTCGCTGTGATATAACAGCGAACTTTTTTTAATTTAAATCTTACTCAGTGTTTTTTAAAATATTTATCAACCAATTATTGTTCATTTTTAAATGAATTCTGTTTTTGTACCTCAGTCTAACAAACATGATCAAAAACCAATTGTAGAAAAAATAAATCTCCGCATTAAGAAGTCAGTCCTTATTATTTTCTCCTGTGGCTTTTGGATGTTTTGCTACATTTTGCTAACTTATGAGTTATATTTTGTATTTCTTGTCTATTATGAAAAATGATGACATGAGGATAATAAAACATGTTCACTGGCCTTTAACAAATTAAATATATTTCTTAAAAGTCTTCAGATTGACACTCAGGACGTTGTTTGTATCGTGTGTTTTTCCCACCATCGTGCGTTTGTCGGCACGGAGTGTCCAATCCATTTTACACCACCAGGAGTGCTCTCTCTGTGTGTGAGGGTGTGTGAGGGTGTGTGTGGCATGTGGCAGAACCAAAACTCTGGACCATCACGCTCTGATGTGATGAAAAATCCACTTGTCCTCTCACATGAGCTGCCAGTGTGGCTGCGCTGCCCAAGCTCCGCCAGCAGAGGTCTGTAAAGAGCAGGTGACGTTAAACTGAGAAGTTAAATAATTACATATTAATTATTGAGGGGAAGAGTCGGTGATCATTCTAAATATATTTTTTTTATTTCATTTTTTTCATCAGTCTGGTTTCCCCGGTCCAAACACAGGCAGACCGTGAAAAATATTCACTGCACACTGACCTGAGGTGTGAATGTTGGTGTGAATGGTTGTATCCACGATGACTGCTGAAGAGTTGGTGTTTCTCTGTGAAGCAAGAAATGAAAAGATTAATGTTTAGTAAAAAAAAAAAAGATTTAGAAAAAATCATGAAAACAAGCAACAACAACAAAGAGTTGAACAGTTTCAAAGATGTTCACGGGGTTGGTTTTCTACCGTCTTCCACATCATCAGGTTCATAAAGAGTTCTGTTGGTTCTTCGTGTGGTCATCGGAGTGAACGTTCACAGAAGTTTCCTTCACAAGAACCAACGTCCACGTGATCACACACTGACTCACCACGGAAGATGCATTTTGTTTGATGTCTAACTGTGTGAAGTCTTCATTCATTTTGCCGCTTCCTTTGAAACGAATCATTTCTACTTTTTTTAAAATCCTGATGTTTGTGGTGGTTTACATAAAATTAATTATTAACACTGGCTAACAGCACTAAAACTTCTACTACTTACATTATTCACTGATTCAAAGTCATTAGGCATTGACTAATAAATGATGACGAATAAATATTTGGTTTATTTATAATTAAACCATTAAAGGACCAGTGACGTAATGGTTTCATATATGGCTTCATATAAAACCATGAGAAGCAGCAGAAGAAGAAACAGCTTTGAACAACAACAGTGTGAAATCACTACGTTCCAAGGCTGTGGGTGACGTCACAATTCATCCAGGAAGTTCGACGGTGACACTGACTTCACAGTAAAAACTATACTGACTATTAACCAACTAACCAACGACTGTTTCCATCACTATCATCTCTATCTAGATGAACAAACATGACACGGCCCTAAATATTAATTCTGTGGCGGATCTTGTGTTTTTGTTTCATTTCTAACAACATATTTTCACTACTTGTACACAGTATTTTTCATATCTTGAATTGTGGTTGACCAAGTAATAACTGATCGTTGACTTACCCAGACCTAGTTGATTTATTATGCCGGTAGAAGGTACCTCGCTCTGCGGATCCATTTCAGGGACGTACTTTTTAAACATCATTTATTTTCGTACTTCTTTTCTCATAATAAACAAAGTTTCGTCGAAAGGTTACACAGCGAACCTTTATATTTCTTAAAATCCTAACCATTTAACACTTGGCACCCGTGTCCACGGAAGAGGGAAATGCAAGGACGCCATCTGCTGGCAACAATACGCCAATACTACGACAAAGCTCGCGCGTAATTTCCGGTTAAAACATCATGGCGGCGCCCACACAAATGTCACACTACTGCTGGTTCTGAAAACAGAAACTCTTGTCTTGGTTTTCTGCTCTTTGGACAACAGGATAGACGTGGGCGACTTATTTCTACAGTGTCGACAGGTATTTTGCTAAATGTATTTATTTATGACGTAGTTCGGCGGTGGCTGACGGCACTAATGTTCGCCACATGAAGCCTTAAAGCTAAGCTCAACGTCATAATAATGTATATCACCTTAGCACCGCAGCTGAATGTTTGTTCTTTGTTGTTTCTTCTCAGGGTGAACCAGAGAACGCGATGGTCCATTTATGTGAGTTCATCGTGTCATTCCAGACTGGCCTCAGGTTCAGTCGGTAGAAGTAAACACTGAGAGTTTAGACATAGTGTATGGACATATTGGTGCGTCTGTCTGAAACCTCAACCCCTCGTTTTACAGCTAGTTCTACGGACTTAATTAATCCGAGGCCCCAGGGTGGTACATGTGGTAACAGCTAAACATTAAACAAAACATTAATAAGTAAGCTGTATGTTTCAGACTGGATTCTTATCAAGACGTCCATCCGGGTCACGACCGTTCCTAACCATAAAGTCCAAAGTCAGGCCTCAGTGATTACATTGAATTGTCATTAAAATGATTCTTTAGAAATGAGAAGATGCAGTGACTTGCCAACGCCTACAGGAGTTCTGCGTGTTTTATTTGCCAGACAATGACTAACAGTCGCCTAATCACAGTTTTATTGTTCCAAGATGAAGTAACGGTGAGTTACGGTGAGGTCTCAGAGGAAGACTCACAAGAATGAAGCAAAGCTCGTGATAAAATCTTAGTGTGTTTTAGGTTATGACCTTGATGAATAGTTCAGGTTTTATGTGGCAAATTCTAGTTAATATATATAAATATTAGTTAATACACGATCCACTGTGTGTCGATGGCGACGTGTTCGTCCGCTCCACCCGCCAACTAGTTCCCATGAAACACTTGTTTTAATGTCGTACGTTGGAATGATGGAACAAGACTTTCTTGATAAATTTATGGGAGATGGAGACGTAACCAGGAAACACCGTAGGTCGAGGACGTGGTGCATAGACATATATTTATATGTGTATGAGATCAGTCGTTTATAGAGCTATTTCAAATACCATGAAACGTTCATATGGGGTGATTGACGAGTCACTAAATCATCCCGTGTGTTTTCTCCTGTCGCAGCCTCACTGCTCCTGAAGACTTACCATGGCGGCTACGTTGTCATCAGGCTTGCTCTGGCTGGTCACAAACAAGCCAACAGGCCTTTTTACCGCATAGTAGCAGCTCACAATAAAAGGGCAAGAGATGGAAAATACATCGAGCAGCTGGGCACCTACGACCCCCTCCCCAACGTCTACAATGAGAAACTCGTCAGCTTCAACTTCGACCGCCTGAAGTACTGGATCGGTTGTGGCGCTCACCCTACAAAGCCCGTGGCCAAACTTCTAGGTGCGAATTAAGTTGTTGAACTTTCTCTTTTGTGTCGTACCAATGTTGCACAATGTTAAAATATGGTTGTCATGGAAACTTTGTTGGTTTGTTTATTCAGGGAGGTGAATATGTGCCAGTTAAGATGAGGTTAATCCTATGACTGTATATTTCTACTGTGTTTATTACTGTGTTTATTACTGTGTATCTTTACTGCATGTCCGCAGGTTTATTGTCCTGAACAGATTAAATGTGCGGCGGTTACAGCTATCTGCTTTGTATCTTTTGATCTAATGTCGTTTTATCACAGAACTGATGATACAGCTTTGGTGTTGATTATTTTAATGTAATAAATCAGAGACTGCTGTGATTCTAACCTGTCTGTTAGAAAACTGACAGTTTGTTGTCGTACGTTACATTTTTAATATTTCTAATGTTCTGGATCATTTCAGGACTTTGAAAACCCTGCATTGAAAATATTAAAATGATATGTTGGCATCAGCTTTAAACCCAGATTCTTCTTCTTCTTCTTTTTTGCAGGTCTAGCAGGATTTTTTCCACTGCATCCCATGACAATAACAGAAGCAGAGCGTCAGAAAGCCCAGACACAAGTGACACAAACAGAGGAAGGTTCAGAGCAGGAACAGAAGAAGGCAGAAGCAGTTTGAGACGGTGTGGAACAACCGTTCACAGCAGCTTCAGAAAAGAAACGCTCAATTCAACGACAACATTTGTCCAGTCATCGCCGACGCCCTGTAAATCCTATCGTTTTTCTTTTTTCTTTTTTTTTACTAAATATTCCATGTAATTGAATAAACTTAGTTCAACTGCTGGACTTGTTCTGACTCAGGTTTCTTTTTCACGTAAACTCTTATCAGGGCATACAATGTGTTTATTGCCTCATGAGCCTTTCTGTAGAGCATGGGCTGAGGTAAACATGTCATAAATCAGTAGTAAAGGTCAATTATGTCAAATGCACGGACGTTAGATAGATATACTTTATTGACCTCAGGCTGGAAAATTGCAGTTACGAAAGAAATCCAGCCTTTATGGTCTTTTGATATGATTATCTGCAAAACCTCTTAGCACGTAGCTCTAATTTGATTTAATGTACGCACTCCACCCATTTTATTGTACTGGCTGTAGTTATTCACCATTTATGTAATGTGTGCTGGATGACTGGGCACACGTGTGTCCACAACACTCACTCTGGGTAAACACTACAGATCACAGTTACTCATCAGGAAAAGGGCAACGCACTTTATCTGACGAAAGTTAAGAAAATGTTGTTGACGGTTTTTATTCCATTCCCACATTGTCTTCTGTGGCACAAACCTGAGAACTGATCCACACTTGACCTCTGTGACCTTTGTGTTTTGGACACAGGAGTGGAGTCAGGTTTACCATTGGATTTAGACGTTGATTTAATTTGATATTGTTCATTGACGGAATGTGATGAAGAAATATTTTCATCATTTTTTTATTGGTTTATTCTTTGAAACACTAACAATCATTTATTCAATAACTTTGATTTTATTCAGCTTTAGTTCACAGTCATAAATTCAATGGTACTAATAATATTTGGCAGAATAATTTCTTTTGGTGGTTCAATTTTCTGCCTCAGCTTCTTCATTTTTGGGTTTCAGCCAAGAATTTTCATTTTGGTGCATCACTAGTAGGGATGCACCGAAATGAAAATTCTTAAACATAAACTAAAAATAATAAATAATTGTCAAAATAATTAATTGTCAAATGTCTAGCAGAGACAGGAAGTCAGAACAGAACAGCCGACCTATTATTGTTATCTGAGGAACTCTCTGTCAGGATCTGACAGAACACATCAGACAACCAGGTCTTTTCTCCTGCGCTGTGAGCTTCTCCGTCTCCAAGCAGGTTCTCTGCGCGCTACTGTATTCCTGCATCCCAGTAATGATCTTTCTAAGGTGGATGGAGCAGAGTGGTGATGAAGCTCAGAGGATCAGAGTAGAAACGTGTCAAACGTGTGCTGACAGACTTTTCACCCCTCACCCTCCCCCTCCCCCATTGAAATTTCAGCAATACATGTTTTGCAAATCTCCATCCGTGGGTCTTTCTCAGATATATTAAAATGTTAGTACCTTCAGACAAGCTCACGCTGGCCGTGGTTTTTGCTTGCGTCACCACAACTTCCTGTTTCGGCCGTGTTGTTTGGTTGATAAAAGTCTTTCGACTGAAAACTGAAAATGCACTTTTGAGCCAATTTTTGGTGGCCAAATATTTCGTGCGTCTCTACTTAAAAGTTTGAGATCAAGTCTGGAAACATTTGAGAACGGTGGTAGATGGAATGAGTTTGAATCCTCCTTTAAACCTTTTGGATTTATTAAGGTCGACTGATTGAAACAATATGACTTTACTGTATATATGATATAAATGTTTACTAAAAGACTGGAGACGCACAACACAGCGAGCTAATGCCTCTAATGGTCTAATGATGAAAGGCTTGGATTACAGTGGGTGTCAGGTTTATTTTTACACCATCGGTTTCCCACCTGTATTAACCTGTTGTTATCTGAACCTCTCTGTCTCATTTTCTCCCTTTCTCTGTCGCTAAAACATACATAAACACACTGCTGTTTTTAAGTTCCTTATCAAACCTTTAAGTGCAGTTTGCGTCATTTAACTGGAGATAATAAAGTCTTGAGCCTTGACACACCCTGGAGTCCACGTTGAAGTCCAGCAGAAACACCTATAGCTCCTTCTGTTGTAAGATTTCTTTTTTTTTTCACACGCTGGAGGCTTTTACAACTAAAACCGTAAATCCAGACAAACTGAGTTCTTTTGAGAACCTTTGAATGAAGATTAGCTGTAAATGGTACCTGAATGTTCTGGAGGTAAAAATACAATGTATTCAAGCAAATATTTATTCATTGATTTCATGGCCATAGAAATACGTTTGAAAGAAGCAAACAAAGGTGTGCAAAGATTTGACCCGAACCACACGTGACCTTTAAGATCAAGAGTATTTCTTGAGAATGACTTTGTCAAAGCTCATTATGTACATTGTTATCGAAGGCACGTATTTACCTGGTAAAGAACGGGTGTAAAATATATTTCTCTGCAAACATATCATTGTATTGACTATGTTGCCCTTAAATGTCTTGGATTGCTGATAATATGCTACAGTGTTGCCAATGGTTCAAAAAAGTGAAGAAAACGATTTTTATAGGAGTAAAATTTATATAAAAGAGAAAAAAACATTTTCTTTGTGTTCAATTGTTGTTCAATTCTATCATTCCGTTAAATATTTTAATTTTATAATAATGAGAATAATTTTCCCACTTGCACTTTAGACCTCTACTGTAAAGAAGGGTGTTCCTCAGAAAATCCAGTGCCTCGTCACTGCACAGATTTGAGCAGGGAGGTTCTGAGACGGCTCTACGTCAGCACAGGTTGATGATTGATAACATACTGAGGAGATGTGAAAACCACTCAAAGTCTAACAGCATTTTGTCAGCCATATCACACTTATTTCACATTCCAGTTCAGACTAGGATTTGATTGTACCATGGACTGACAAAGACTGCAGTCGTGGTGATTCTAAATCTGTCTCGTAAACGTACTGGAGATGAAAAATCGGACGTGCAACTGGATGAGAATTTCCAGTCTTATCCTTATTTTTGCCTTTATCGCACTCACCACAATCCTGTCCTCTGCACCATCAAGTGGTAAGTCTCAGATTTCTGTAATCGTCGTGATAAATGTGGTTATTTTGTAACCAAATAAAAAAAGATATTTGTTTACCAGTTAGACTAAAAATGAAGAGTCAAATAAAAAACCCTCCTGTGGTCAAAGATGAAAAGCGGTAAAACATGGCATTTTACAATTATATAAACCAATAATAAAAAAAAAGTCAATTCTGTTTTTGTTTAATTGGCTAACTTTGTTTCACTGTGTGATGTGATTTTGATACATGTAAATTCACTGCGGACTAAAACAAATCCTAAGACAGAAGCTAAGTGATTGTCTTTACACTTGCAAAAGTTTTATGTCATTTTTGGCAGTAATCAACTGATATACTGACAGAGGCTGGTAAAAGTCATTTGAAACTGCTGAAAGGGAACTAATTAGTGCTGAGAAGCAGACCCACTGAATCAACTTACATGAGCAACATGTGACTTTTGTTTTACATCTATATTCTGGTCAATACCAGACTTTAAAAATGGTTTGATGATGCCACCTATTGACGAAGCAGTCAGTAACAATATTAAAAACTTACATGATTTGAAATTCGCACTTAACATGTTTTGACTGTGTAATGATTTTAACAGCATATGATGAAACGACGCAAAAGGAGCTACTGGACCGTCGGAGGAAAAAAGAGACAAAAGATATCGCTAGAGATTTGACAATATTGATAGGAAATGAAAATGACACACAAACAACATACAAGGCAACAGATGGAAAAAAAGTGTCCCATGGTATAACAGTGATTTCTACAAATGAAGTAATTTCAAAAAAATTCAAAAAAGAATTATCAAAAAGAAGTTTGCAAACAGACATAGAAAATCAGGAAAATACAAATGCGCCGGACAAGTCTGAAGTCACTACTTCAAGTGAATCAGT